AATGTATATCTGCAATGTACCACAAAAAAGTGTCAAGGCATGGATGAACAAAAGCATTAAGATGTGCATGTTCTATTATAGTAATATTTAAAAGTGGGTTTTGTTCTTCAAGCGAAAATGCTTAATACTATACAAAAAAAAAGAAATATTTAGAACAGAATCTGAAAAAGTAAATCAATATGATAATGCCTACATACAATTGTGGCAATGTACGACGTAAAACTCGAACTACCGCACTCATTATAAAATCATCCTTTACGGGTACTCTTAAATCATCAATTTGGTAATTTCACTCCTTGGCTGTTAGATTTTGGAAGTTTTTTGAAAAAAGATGAATTTAATCGAAGGTCAATTAGATCGCCATCAGGATCTTGTTCTTTATAAGTCAAAAAAATTTCTTTTGTTGTATCCGAGTAATCAATAGTGGTTCATAAGATATCTGTTATCTGATTAAAAAAAAACCAAGTGTTAAAAATCCGTTAGCTAAAATGTATTATTAAATAATTACTTACCACATCATCTCGAACAGGTTCATTCTCATTATTCTCTTTTAAAAGATCTTCAAAAAAATCGATGTCCAATCCCTTTTCATTTGTTTCCTCTTCATTTTCTTGAAAGGAACTTTCATCCCCGTCGGTTGCTTCTTCAAAAAATTCCTGATAATCTGGTATATTTCTTCCGCCTCTTGTTCGCTGTTGTTTTATCGTGTCCTGGTCTTCCTAAAAACATTAAAATACAAGATGATTGGTTTTTTTGATTTTCAATTTCACATAAAAAAATATGCATCTGTACCTCCTCTCGATCTTTTTGCTTTCTTTTCATTGATGATACACAACTCGTGGTTTTATCATTGATAGTCTCAATATTTCCGGAGAATGTCGAATTTTGAATATTAACTGAAGGACCAGAACATATTTCACGTGTTACTTGTCTATTCTTCCAATCCACAGCACGTTTGCGGTCAATTCGTTTACCCTTACATACAGCAGAAGTAATAAGAAATTAGCAATATGTACAGTAATTCACCAATTTATTATCCAATTTACTATCCAATTTTCCATCCCACCAGAGGCGAGCAGCCTTTAACATCAGAAGACCAAGCAGGTCATCTGTGCCCTAGTGGGACCAATGTAAAATCGGCAAGCAGCCTTTAAACATCAGACAACCGAGCAGGTCACCTGTGCCTCGACATTGGTTTTGTGGCTCGGCAA